ACTGCGGACACGAAGACAATTAGCACCTGAGGGGTTTGAAGTGTTTATGCTAAGTTATCGTTACTGTTCACAGTTCTAAAGTCCGTGTTCTCTAGTGTTACACTGTTATTGTACGGGTATTATACTGTTATTGTACACGATTGACCCACAGTAACTGTGGATGATTGATGGGGCACGTGTCATGCTTATGGCGGTTGGTTCCATGGACCTTTCGCATAATGATATGACGTCACCTCGCTACAGACTGTCTTGTGAGCCTTCGCTAATTTGCAGTCATTATTAATCCCAATAACGAGGACATAGTTCGCTGCTTAAAACATTTTGACAGTTTTATTTTTGTGTTTTATTGAATTTTCTATTTTTATGGCCTCGAGTAGAGGGCAAAAAGTTTACGAATATCACATGGCCGTGAAACCGAACAAATTTTTAAACTTGGTAATAAAGTCATTTTAGCAAATTTATGATCTATAATGTAAAAAGATCATGTAAGATAAAAAAATAATAATGATTTTATAATTCGTAATGTTCTACCAATAAATTTTGATAGTATAATTAATTCCAATATTGACAGACACATCAGGTCAACCTGACCATTTTCTTTTTCTCGGAGGGTTTGTAATTGTGTTGAGTTATTGCTCTCAACTGTTGATGGTACATTAACAAGCGGTAGTTATCGTCCCAGAAGCTGTAATTATCGGACTCATCCCCCGCGGCCATCAGCCTGCAGCGTAGGTTTTAATAACAGGAGAGATACGGCTCTAATAAGTGCTTATTTTCTCATTAAACGGACCATTCTGGTGCTCTTGTTTACATTATGGTTCCCGCCATAAATTACGCGCCCTCGGGGGAGGGGACGGGGAGGTGGTATTTGGAGGGAGAGGGAGAGTTAGTGGTAAATAAGGAGGCGACTGAAGGGTGATAAATGGAGGAAGAGAAGGAGACATATAGCATTATATAAATTATATAAATAAATGAAATAAACAGAACAACGAAAGCTCATAATTACCACAATAACAAACGCCAAAATTTAGCATAATCACCAATAAACAAAACTCGTTGTATACAGAAAACGGCGACAGTCATCACCCCCCCCCCCTCCAAACACAAAAAAGGCCCCAAAACAAACACAAAGGCCTTCGGTGCTTTATTGTAAAATACAAAAAAAAAAAGTTTAATAAATATTCAAAACAGGAAGCCACCAAATGTTGACTCAAGCCAATAAATGATGAAATATTACATAAGGGAGAGAGAGCATATTTTAACGTTTCAGTCCAGGAAATGAAGGCGGTGGCAGCAGTGTATTGATAATCTCAGCGAGGCCCTAAACCTGAAATATTTTAACATTTTTTGTCGTTAGTGTAGAGTTGATTGGGCAGGGTTACTCATCCTGTGAGTGAGCATACTGTGTTCATGACAGTATTGGGCAGGGTCACTCATCCTGTGAGTGACCCTGCAGATACAATTTGGTGACACTCAACACATTATGGAGGAAGCGAGAGTGGTCGGGGGCGTGTCCCTGTAGGCGTCTGAGGGGGCGTGTCCCTGTATGCGTCGGGGGGGGGGGGGGCGTGTCCCTGTAGGCGTCGAGGGGGGGGGGGGCGTGTCCCTGTAGGCGTCGAGGGGGGGCCTGTCCCTGTAGGCGTCGGGGTGGGGCGTGTCCCTGTATGCGTCTGAGGGGGCGTGTCCCTGTAGGCGTCGGTGGGGGGGGGGCGTGTCCCTGTATGCGTCGGGGGGGGGGGGCGTGTCCCTGTATGCGTCGGAGGGGGGGGGCGTGTCCCTGTAGGCGTCTGAGGGGGGGGGGGGCGTGTCCCTCTAGGCGTCTGAGGGGGGGGGCGTGTCCCTGTAGGCGTCGAGGGGGGGGGGGCGTGTCCCTGTAGGCGTCGAGGGGGGGGGGGGCGTGTCCCTGTAGGCGTCTGAGGGGGCGTGTCCCTGTAGGCGTCGAGGGGGGGGCGTGTCCCTGTAGGCGTCGAGGGGGGGGGGCGTGTCCCTGTAGGCGTCGAGGGGGGGGGCCTGTCCCTGTAGGCGTCGGGGTGGGGCGTGTCCCTGTATGCGTCTGAGGGGGCGTGTCCCTGTAGGCGTCGGTGGGGGGGGGGCGTGTCCCTGTATGCGTCGGGGGGGGGGCGTGTCCCTGTATGCGTCGGAGGGGGGGGCGTGTCCCTGTAGGCGTCTGAGGGGGCGTGTCCCTGTAGGCGTCTGAGGGGGGGGGCGTGTCCCTCTAGGCGTCTGAGGGGGGGGGGGCGTGTCCCTGTAGGCGTCGAGGGGGCGTGTCCCTGTAGGCGTCGAGGGGGGGGCGTGTCCCTGTAGGCGTCGAGGGGGGGGGGGGCGTGTCCCTGTAGGCGTCGGGGGGTGGGGGCGTGTCCCTGTAGGCGTCGGGGGGGGGCGTGTCCCTGTATGCGTCGGAGGGGGGGGGCGTGTCCCTGTAGGCGTCTGAGGGGGCGTGTCCCTGTAGGCATCTGAGGGGGGGGGGCGTGTCCCTCTAGGCGTCTGAGGGGGGGGGGCGTGTCCCTGTAGGCGTCGAGGGGGCGTGTCCCTGTAGGCGTCGAGGGGGGGGGCGTGTCCCTGTAGGCGTCGAGGGGGCGTGTCCCTGTAGGCGTCGAGGGGGGGGCGTGTCCTGTAGGCGTCGAGGGGGGGGGCGTGTCCCTGTAGGCGTCGGGAGGGGGGCGTGTCCCTGTATGCGTCTGAGGGGCGTGTCCCTGTATGCGTCGGGGGGGGGGGCGTGTCCCTGTATGCGTCGGGGGGGGGCGTGTCCCTGTAGGCGTCGGGGGGGGGGGGAGCGTGTCCCTGTAGGCGTCGGGGGGGGGGGCGTGTCCCTGTATGCGTCGAGGGGGGCGTGTCCCTGTAGGCGTCGGGGGGGGGAGCGTGTCCCTGTAGGCGTCGGGGGGGGGGCGTGTCCCTGTAGGCGTCGAGGGGGGCGTGTCCCTGTATGCGTCGAGGGGGGCGTGTCCCTGTAGGCGTCGAGGGGGCGTGTCCCTGTAGGCGTAAGGGGGGGGTGTCCCTGTAGGCGTCGGGGGGGGGGGTGTCCCTGTAGGCGTCGGGGGGGGGGCGTGTCCCTGTAGGCGTCTGAGGGGGCGTGTCCCTGTATGCGTCGAGGGGGGCGGTGTGTCCCTGTATGCGTCGAGGGGGGCGTGTCCCTGTAGGCGTCGAGGGGGGCGTGTCCCTGTAGGCGTCTGAGGGGGTGTGTCCCTGTAGGCGTCTGAGGGGGCGTGTCCCTGTAGGCGTCGGGGGGGGGCGTGTCCCTGTAGGCGTCGGGGGGGGGGCGTGTCCCTGTATGCGTCGAGGGGGGCGTGTCCCTGTATGCGTCGAGGGGGGCGTGTCCCTGTAGGCGTCTGAGGGGGCGTGTCCCTGTAGGCGTCGGAGGGGGCGTGTCCCTGTAGAAGTCGGGGGCGTAAAGATAGTGCTAAAGAGGGACAAGGGGAACATAGAACAGGACATAGAGGGGGAACACAGAAGGTGTGGGGAGCAGAGGAGGAAATACAGAGGGGAGGTGACACAGAGGGGGTGACACAGAAGAGGGGGCAACACAGAGGGCGTGACACAGAGGGGGATGACACAGAGGGGGTGTGACACAGAGGGGGTGTGACACAGAGGGGGTGTGACACAGAGGGGGTGTGACACAG